ATCGGAATTATATCGTATCGACCAAAATTAAAAAATATATCGTGATATAAATTTTTGCCATATCGTCCAGGCCTAGTCTATTTTTAAGAATTTGCACCAGTTGCTCTTCTTCAATCTTGACTGTGGATTCATGGCATTGTCTCAATCATCCTCAGAGGCTTCATTTATTTGATAATTCGCATGGCTCTGCAGATTTTCATTCTGTTTTTGTTGTCTTTTTCATACTGTTGTTTTGGTATGTTTTTCATATCATATCTTGGTGAAGAATAAAGTCCTTTGCCCTCAGTATCTTGGAGTAATTCTGATGCTCCGTAACATTACTAGCAACATCTGGGCTGATCGACTTGTCTTTTGGATACCTTGTTTTATCGTGTATTATTGTTCGGGTCATGCATTCCTCTCCTGCTGGGCTTTGTTAAAGATACCAAATGTGGAACTTCTGTCTTACCCCCACCCCCCACCCCAATGCATCATGGGTGCCTTAGTCAAAATCAGTGATGGTAGAGAATACTTTTGTGTTTAGCGCCTTACCTGCTCTTTCCCCCTGTGTTACTTTGGCTTCCAAGAGCTTCCAAGATCTATGATCACGTGGAAATATTTATAAACCCCAACAGGCCTTAGTGGTTCTGTGAAGTGCATCTGTAAGTGGGTCACTGGTGTTCATGTTGCAGCTTCACTTTCACTCCAGGGGGCATTTTTGTCTAGATTTTTAAGCATCACTGGGGAATATCTCTGATCCTGGGCCATGACAAGATAATTGTAATTTGTGCTGACACTGCCCACCTTTGGCACCCTGAGTCGTGTTGTTTAATCTCCATATGTCTTCTTATCCTATACTTGCGTTGGTAGCCACTTTGAGTCTCCTGAGTGTGACTTTCTTAAGCCATGTGTTCCTTGGTTACTTCAGATTGATGCAGTAGACATTGCCTTAGCTGGTTCACTCTCCACAGCTGCCTATTACAATCCTTTTCGGTTGACTTACTTGGTCACCCTCTTTCTGGTGGCTTGCCACTTTTACAACTGCAATCTCCTCTCTGTTTTAAGTGATCTATCTCCTTCTGACCAGGATCAGACAGAAGTCAGAGACAAGTAGAAAAGGTATATCTACAATCAGCATAAAAGTCGACTCAGTCCCACAAGTCTTCTCATTCTGCATTGCATTCTGTACTGTACTTTGCATTCTGGAAAAAGCTGGATTTGTTCCCTAAAAGGTTCAGGTCACTTAGGGGACATTTTCCACAAACTTGGTTCCTTCTTATTGAATCTTTTGATCACTTAATATGCACTTTTGCGAATTACTTCAGTAGGTACACTTTTCACTGAGCTCATTGGCTATATGCCTTGGATCAAACTGGTTTTTGTAGCCATGCCAACAACAGAAAGTGATTTCCTTTGCTCAGATAATGCTTTTGCTTTTCAGTTCTACAAAATATAACATTTGACAGAGGGATAAACGATGATGAAGAGAGAATGATGTCTCAGGAATATCTGGATCTGTTATGGATTAGCTTTTTATGTATAAGCTTTTGTGTATAATTTTATATATTTAGGATGTTACAGTAGTATGCTTGTCAGGTCAGTAAAATGTTGCATTTCTGCTCCGGGGAAGGCTTATCTGCCAAAATGATGTTAGTGCACACATTTTATTCACATTTTTGTGAAATCTGTGATATAGGATTCTTCAACACCTCCATGCATAAAGTAACCTTCTGCATTAAATTGGCTTGATAGTAACTGGCATGTTCTTTGGCTTAACACAGTTAAGTATGGAGAAGCCATCATTCAACACTGTAATTCACACTAGACACACACTTTTCTTTGTTGTTTAGAAGTGGGTTGTAAAAGTAAGTGGAAAAATTTGTGGCACATATAAAATATGCACCATATCAGTCCACTGTTTTGCAGTATATCGCATTACAGACCACCCATTGACTGCCCTCATGGAAGGTATTTTATAGATTCTAAAATGTGTGCACTGGTGTGGATGCAGTTTTTAAAAATATCCTAAAATATCGGCAAATGAAAACCTTTTAAAATCGGCTAGCATTTGGGGTGCAGTCTTGGCATATTCTGTAGCTTCTGTATTTGGGAAAAAAATAGTCATCAAACGAGCTTGATGGGCCGAACGGCCTCCTCTCGTTTGTAAATTTCTTATGTTCTTACGTTCACCATCAGGCTGGCTGAAGCACAAAAAAAATAAAAAATACGATTACGAATTTTGTTACAGTCCTGGAATATATTTAAAGCACTGTATAAATGTATTCTTTGTCTATGCCAGGGGTGGCCAGTCTTATCCACAAAGG